GCTGGTTGTCCCCTAAGACTCCAAGATCCCTCTCTCAGTTACTGCTATTAAACCTGGTTTCACCCAATCTAGATGTGTGCTTCTTTTTTCTTGCCTAAGTGTAGGACTTTACTTTTCTGTACATTGAATTTCATTTTGTGAGATAGGGATTCAAGTCTGTCAAGATCCATCTGGATCTTGAGCCTATCTTCTAAGGGTGTGGCTGTTCCTGCCAGCTTAGTGTCATCTGCAAATTTGGTAAGTTCCCCTTCACTCGATTGCTGCTTCCCATACTTACTCGGTTTGCTCAATGGATTGATCCGAATGAATGCAACAAGAAGTAAGTTAGAAGAAATAAACCATGTTATGCAAATGACACGATGAAAGGTAGTGTGGGAAAGGCAGCCAAGGAGAGCAAGATATCTTGGGTGCTAATTGACAACCCGTGGACTCTTGATGTCACATTCTAGCCGTGGTGGACTCATACCAAACCACCAACCTACCCTGTTTTCAACTTGTCGAGGAATTTGAACTACAGGAGGAGGAGGAGGGAGGAGGAAGGAGAGCATTTTGCTTCTTTTCCCCTCTGTTAAGAATTCTGTGCTGCAAAAGATACAGAAACATCCTTTGTCTTTAGCTCCGGAATCTTGGAAGTTGTGCAAAAAGACAGGAAGGAAAGCTGCAAGGCAAGTCCTGGGCTGTTTCTTTTCTTTCTTTTTTTTTTTCTTTTGCCACCTTTGCAGAGTTGTTATTGTTGTGTTCTGGTTCAGATCTCGACTCTTGAAGCTCATCCAGATCAAACAGGCCGAATTGATGTCAGCTGAGACTTTGCAAAGCCTTGCCACCACCTCCTCCTCCTCCTCCAACTTTCAGTCCTGCACATGAACCCCAACTGCTTGGAAATGGAAAACTTTCTTGAAGCTCCGGGAAATTGGCACAGCAGGAGAGGTGGGGCTGGGGAAGGTGCCAGCCAGTGCCTGGAAAACATAGATGGGTGAGGGCAGCGCTGCCCCCTGGCGACAGCCACTTAAAACAGGGATGTCCAGCTTTGGCAACTTTTAAGATTTCTGGACTTCAACTCCCAGAATTCTGGCTGGGGAATTCTGGGTGTTGAAGTCTGCAAGTCTTAAAGTAGCCAAGGTTGGAAACACCTGCACTAAAACTCCCCAAAATGTGAGGCTGTTAGGGTGGCGTTTGTCAATTTGCTTCCACCTTAAAGGTAACTGTGGAGATTCTCGGTCCTGGTTGTCCCAAAGGTGCTTTTTTCAAGAGGCAACTGGACTTTCTGGTTTTTCTTTGAAGAGGTTTCGCTTCTCATCCAAGAAGCTTCTTCAGCTTCTTGGATGAGAAGTGACTATCTAATCACAGCAGAAGAAGTTTCTTGGATGAGAAGTGAAACATCTTCAAAGAAAAACAAGAAAGTCCAGTTGCCTCTTGAAAAAAAAGCACCTTTAGGACACCTTACAGGTAGTCCTCAATTTACAATAGTTTGTTATAGTGACCGTTTACAACGGCTCTGAAAAAATATGATTTATGACCGTTTTTCATACTTTTGACCGTTGCAGCATCTCCATGGTCATGTGATCAAAAATTCCTACCGCTTGGCTACTGGCTCATATTTGTGACGGTTACAGAGTTGTGAAATTGCCTTTTGACAAGCAAAGTCGGTGGGGAAGCCAGATTCACTAACTTAACTATGACAATGATTCACTTAATGTCTGTGGCAGGAAAGGTCATAAAACAGGGCAAATCTCACTTCACAACAGCCTGGCTTACCAACAGAAATACTGGGCTCAATTGGGATTGTAAGTCAAGGACTACCTCTGTTTTAAAAAGTCAGAAATCAACTTGAACAGAAGTCCTGAAGCTGGCTAGCTTAGCATTCCTTGATTAAGAGCCCTTCCGGATGGGTGGACTTCAACTCCCAGAATTCCTCAGCCAACACAGCCATTGGGGAGAGGATTCTAGTACTTGAGGGGCTGCCACGAGGGGGGTCAAATTATTCTTCAAAGCACTGGAGGGCAGGACAAGAAACAAGGGATGGAAACTAACCAAAGATAGAAGCAACCTGGAATTAAGGAGAAACTTCCTCACAGGGAGGACAATTAACCAGTGGAACTGCTTGCCACCAGAAGTTGTAGGTGCTTCATCCTTGGAGGTTTTCAAGAAGAGACTGGACAGCCACTTGTCTGAAATGGTATAGGGTCTCCTGCTTGAGCAGGGGGCTGGACTAGAAGACCTCCAAGGTCCCTTCCAGCTTCTCTCCTCTCCTCCTTCCAATATTTATTCCATTCCATTCCATTCCATTCCATTCCATTCTATTCTATTCTATTCTATTCTATTCTATTCTATTCCATTCCGTTCCATCCTGTTTTCTATTCTATTCTATTCTATTCTCTTCTCTTCCCTTCCCTTCCATTCCATTCCATTCCATTCCATCCCATCCTATTTTCTATTCTATTCTCTTCTCTTCTCTTCTCTTCTCTTCTCTTCCCTTCCATTCCATTCCATTCCATTCCATTCTCCATATTCCATATTCCATATTCCACTCTATTCCACTCTACTCTGTCCCTACCCCTACCAGAGTGGTTTAAAACCAACCACAGCTTTGGACAACATGTGAATTGTCGCCATTAATTTTTTCCCCATTGAAGTTGCTTGTTCTGAAAGCCCGTTCTGTCGTGGCAGTGCGAAAGCAAGCTTGTCATTCCTCGGGCATTTGTACCATAGTTTGCATGCTCACCTTCTGGGAACAGGGACTGCTCAACCAATTTAGAAAGTCACCCAGCACCCAGTTCTTTTCCCCGTACAAATTTTTTGGTGTCTTGCAAGCCACCTTAACTCAGCTCTGTTCACAGAACATGCTTTAACCGTGTCATTTACAATTCAGGGGCCACGTTCTCAACAATAGCGTGAATTTGGTGAGTTTTAAACTGGGTTAGGCTTCCTTTTTTTTTTTTCTGGGGACAATAGGTTGTGTAAAACGCACTTCTCTGTGTGTGAATTGAGTTTTCAACGTAAATGCCATTATCAACTTGTGCAGCAAGGTGTGGAGCAAGCCAGGAAAAACTGTTATCTAATCCTGACATTATAGTAATAACAGCAATGAAAACATGAGGTCTCAGCCACTAAGCGATAAAAATATTCTCGGTTTGGCACCAGTGTCCTCTACTGGAAATGAGCAAATATTATTGTTTGATTGGTACATGTTTTTCTGCAAGGAAAGGATTGAAGGATTTGGGTTTAGGAACACTTTACTTCAGATTGGTGAGACCGAAGAGAGAAATTATCCAAGCCCCCCTTCACACCACCTGCTTGAATTAATTTCTGAATTATTCCACTTTCTGGCTTTGCATCGTATTTTGAATCATCAAGTAACCTAAACTAAGGGGGTTCGCAGCAGGGATGGGATGCAAATATTCTTACTCCCGGTTCTGTGGCCTTGACTAGATGGGAGTGGTTAGGTGGGCGTGGCCATGTAACTAGGTGGGCGCACCCCTTTTTGCCTCCTGGGCCTCAGGGAAGCATCCTAGGTAAGACTGCGAGGGGGATCCCGGCACAGCCGATCATCGGAACAGCCGATCATCGGAACAGCTGATCATCAGGAGGAAAAAAAACAAAACCACAAGGAGTGACTGAATGGGGTGGGCGGGGGAGAATGCAGTCAGCGATGTCGCGCATGCGTGCAATAAGGATTGACTGGGTGGGGCGGAGAGGGGCGGGGCCAGTCAGGGGAACGATTTGCCAGTTCTCCAAACTGTGCAGAATCGTAACAACTGGTTCAACCAAACCGGTCCGAACTGGTAGAATCCCACTCCTGCTTCACAGCACATACGAAGCCTGAAAATTAAACTTAGTTTAACACCTAAGCTTTGTGGCTTACACTAATTCAGGCTCTGAGATTTTAATTGTCTTGAACAATGTTTCTCAATCTCCGTAACGTGAAGACATGTGGATTTCAACTCCCAGTGTATGTCAGTTTGATGTGGCTTTTTTGACCCTATGAATTTTGATGCAAACAGTAAGTTCATGTTCCTTTTATGATGTGTAAACTTCAGAATCCTCATCCGATATTAATGATTAATAATGGCTTGATAGGAATATACAGGTGGGGTGGGGTTTTTTTTGAATGGAGAGATCTGTGCTGACAAATTCATTCTGACGACATGTAAACAGTAGCTGTAGCTGCATTTTCTTGGGGAGAAGGCGGCCAACCGAACCACTGGGAATTAAAAGTGTCGTTTGTGCAGCCAGCTGGTTTTAGCGAGGAATGTGCAAGCTTTCGAATCTCACAGCATGCTTTGTCAAGCTGATTGCAAAAGCTGCCACTTATAAAAACATTTTGCGTGTTTTCCTATCTTGGGGAAAAAAAGCAACCTGTCAGGTTATCTGTAAAAATTTCGTGTGAAATCTTGCTACACTTAAATTTGTGCAGAAAGGGAGGAAATATTTATGCTTTTCATAGAAAAAGAAAGATGTGAAAGGAATTAGGAATTAAAAGCTGTCACCTTACCGAGCATATGGGTCAATGGTGGGATTCAAAAAATTTTTACTACCGTTTCTGTGGGTGTGGTTCGGTGGGCGTGGCAGGGGAAGGATACTGCAAAATCCCCCTTCCCTCCCCACCCCACTAACCTGCTTTCCAGCTCCGTTCTCCCGTGCAGGGCAATCAAAGAAGACCCAGCCAATCAGCTGGGACTCAATGGGAGGCAGGGAATAGATGGGGTTGGCGGGGCCAGTCAGAGGTGGCATTGGTTGGTTCTCCAAACTAAAAATTTCTGCTACCAATTCTCCAGAACTGGTCAGAACCTGCTGAATACCACTTCTGATATGGGTGCCATAAAATGTTTAGTAAATAAAATAATAAAATAAAAAATAAAGTATTAAAAGTACAGTAAAATAGTAAAATAAAACTGACCTGACAGGCTGCCAAGTTGTGTGCTTGGTAAAATTCTGACATTCGAGGTTTCAGAAAAACTGAGAGTGATTTTATTCACCAGAAGTTTTAATCTCTTTCCTAGGTTGTGAAGTTGGAACGAACATTACCAAAAGGATCGGCAAGTGAGAAGTACTGCATTCCTGGGGCGGATCCTACCTGAAGCAAAGTCCTAGAAAGGTTGGAGACTATACGGCGACTCATGTTTCCCTCTACCTTTTAGAAACAGCAGCAGAGATAGTCTTCTATATATGGCCACAATTAGGAATTTCCGTTGCTAAACAAGGAGCGAGTTGTGAGTTGGGCTCCTTAAAGCGGTCACGTTGAGAATCACTGCTCAATGAGCAAAGTCAACAGGGGAAAAACAGATTAACTGAAGGACCACGTGATTCAATTTTATGACCTTTTTTTTTTTGCTATGGTTGTTCATTAAGCAAATCACCACAGCTGTTCACTGAATCATGTGATCCTTAAGTGTATCTGTTTTACAGTGTTGATTTCGCTTGTTGAGATGATAGATTTGAGCACTGTTTCTCAATGTGACCACTTCAAGACGGGTGGACTTCAACTCCCAGAATTCCCCAGCCAATTCTGGGAGTTGAAGTCCACCCGTCTTAAAGTGGCCAAGGTTGGAAAACACTGGATTATAATATTTCTTAGCTATTATGTGGCAAATTGTAATTTCCACCTTAATGAATTTAATTTTCAATGCTTTTCATTGGTGCTTTTTTTGTGGATAAGTTTGCTGGCCAATTTGGATGATCTAAAGGCTTTTATCCAAATGTCAGCAGCCTGCTAACTCTGGTTGATCCAGAAAAGCTCATCAGAGTTGAGGTCTCATTTATACTTGCATCCACATGAGATCCTTGGTAAGAAAATAGGACATGTATGTGTGTGTGTGTGTGTGT